GGGGTCCAGCCTAAGGGAGAGGAAGACGAGGACGGCCACGCTGCGGCCGTAATAACCTGCAGCTGTCTGGGGGTACCCGCCCTTGACGCCGGTCAACAACCCCACTAGCTGGGCGTGCTGTACTGCCACGCCAACAACAACAAAGGGTAATCATTCGCTTCGTTCCCTCTAGAATGCGGAAGAACAGTTCCTGAACGAAGCTGAAGAGAAGATGCCATCAGCATCAATATTCATGGCGGTCTATTAATTGAATTAGTTTTTATATCGAGTCAACCAATCAAGTTAATTTTAAATAAAAAAGGTCGCAGTATTATACTTGTAAATTCATATGTGCATGTAAAATCACCCATCTCTCATGATCATCATTGTGTGAGTGTGTGTGTGTATATATATATATATATATATATATATATATATATATATATATATACATATCATTAAAATCCGCCCCTAGATATTAAAAAGTTGTATGTATTAACAACTGCTGTGTATATAGTTCACTCGAGATTTTTTTAAAAACAATATTGAGGCTTTCTCTTACCACCATTCGGAAATTAGAAGCAATTAAAGACAGAAACACATTATTCTTTACTTGATGCCCAAAACACACGGCAGTGCCACACAACGTTTTGGCATCTCAAAGCAAGCAAGCAAACATCAATAGAAAAATAGAATACATGAAAAAAAAACACTTCGGTGTACACACGTACATTTAGTGTTAACACTCAATTTTAATTCACAACTCCTAGAGACATTGTTTAACAATTCGAACGTAAATGAGGAAAGAAAGTATGAAATTTTTTCCTTTTAAGAACAAGTAAGTAGTAGGATTCTTGGATGATCATCTGATGAAATTGTGTCACATTACATTGTAAAAACAATCAATGAACAGTGTCCAGTGAAAGGAACGCTATTTAACATTATATTCCTTTAACACGCAGAACAAACAGATTATCGTAAACCGGTTCTCTAGATAGAAACAGCACGTTTTTCTCTAAAAGGACAGCAAAATATATTATAAAAAAACTATTTACCGCTTGATACATCGTTACCTTTTCTCACACACATATACCTCAACTCATACATACGTATTTAGATCGTAGACACGGTAAAACCACCTGTAACGTGTTGAAAACAACCAGCAATTTCACTGGTGCGGGGCCCGTCATGGACCCCGTACCCTGTTGTCAAATCGGAGATGCGAGATAACGGGCAACGGTGATGCGATGCTGACTGTCGCATCTCAGACTTTTCATTGGCACTTCTGTATTTTACTGATCCTCTTACAACTTCGCCATCCCTTTCTTTGAGTACCTTTTCTTTCAGTAGAAGGATTGAGAATCCCAGTGGTCACATGCTAACAAATGATTCATTTAGTGTCGGTGTGTGTGTGT